TGGCTTTGGCGGGACTCTTAGCGGCACCACCCTCCTGATATCGTTCACCTTCCCTTTCTACGGTTCGTTTAGGGCTGCTGGATCGAAGATGGCTCCTTTCCCCACAGCCATAGAACCTAGGGCTGTATCCTTTATTGCGGTCGCGAACTGTAGCTGCTGCAACCTCCCTCACGAGATGGGAGCGAAGATCCTGCTGCACGGCTTCATCCTCCGGTGCATGAGTTAAAGCGTCCTTAAGCGTCTCGTGGTGACCAAGCCTCAGAGCAGCTCTGACCTCAAGGTCGCGGATGCCGTCGATGAATGTCTGCACCAAGTTCCCTTCCATGAGCGCAGGTACAGACTGGTATGCTTTTCGAACCATCTTCTCCACCTCAAGGGCCCACTGCTGCAGTTTTTCGTTGCTGCGTTGCACGCGATCTTTAAACTGCGCGCGAAAGACGTGTTCCAGATGAGCGTCGCCATATCTCGCCTCCAATGCCTCAAGGAGCTGCTCGTAGGTCACTTTCTTACCGAAAGCTTCCAACACAGTTAAGGCTTGGTCGCGCAAGCCTAGGGTGAGTGCAGTTATGGCCTAGCTTTTAGTTCAGCCGTTCGCCTCCATGACGGCCTCGAACTGGATTTTGTAGGCCGACCAGGAAGAAGTCCCGTCGAACGGCGGCACTTTGAATCCACGTAGCGAAGGTGTAGTAGCTACTAGGAGTAGGGAGCTGTAGTTCCATCGCCCAGTTTGAGACAGTCCAGCGTTTTCTTCACGTCAGCCATCACGTTGTTAACCCGATTGTTCACTTGATCGATTTGTGTTTTAGCTTCCTCGATTTGGGTTTCAGCTTCCGACAGGTGGTTGTCATGTTGAGCAATCATATCCTTCACCTCCCTTATCTCTTTCCCAAAGGTAGCGTGAAGGTCATTCATGAGGGGCATCTGCTCTTCCGACCGACGAGCCTGTTCCACCTGCTGATCTTCCAACTGACGGGCCTGTTCCTCCTGTCCGCGCTACAGCTGCTCTTCCAACAGACGGACCTGTTCCTCCTGTCGGCGGGCCTGTTCCTCCTGTCGGCGGGCCTGTTCCTCCTGTCGGCATGCCTGTTCATCCTATCCGCCCCGCAGCTGCTCTTCCAACTGACGGACCTGTTCCTCCTGCAGCATCACTATCAGAGCACCTAAGTCAGGTGCTGCAGGTGTAGGAGCTGCTGACGGGCCAGCCTCCGTGGCTGGCAGTTGGCCCTCTGACTTCTGCGGCGTTGCACCACCAAATCGTCTTTGGTCCGTCTCCTGCTGGCGTTGACTTCGGGTACGGACACCCTCCATCTCGTCCTTAGGTAAAATCGGCATGATTTTATCCCACTTCTGACACCAATTGTTACGAGCTTGAGGTTCGTGACAGTAAAAACTGCCGATTGAATTACCAAAATTTACACTTTTATTACCGAACACCAATTAAAACTTATAACACTAATAATTAACCACACTGATTCACTTTATTTCGCTCCGAAGCTTCGTTTGTCTCACCAAATTCAATACTGCCCCGATCGTGGCATGCTGCAGGTTTAAATATACTTTTACATCGAAACATTCAGAATATTCCCGTAGATACGGGCGCTGACCGACCAGACACAGAAAGTTCGAGTGTGGGGCTTCTAGAAAGCTTAATTCTTCTGTTCGATACTAGATGGCGCTGTTGGTCGAAATTCAAGATTGACATTTTCTAGGAAGCCCTCCTTGCTCTTTTACCCGACACTAGATGGCGCTAGTGCCAGGTACCCGACATCAACTTAGGCGCGCAACAGTACTAGTTATGGTAACGTAGTTCTTCAAAATAGTCCCCACTAGCAAAATAATATGTCTGTCTCCTAAGTTTGACTCACAGTAACCATTTTTATCTTAATTAACAATATTTGCTTATTTGCGAAGATGTTTTCTCTAATTCAGTATTAATATTAATCTTAACAATATGTTAGTTAAATTATATCATTTAAGTGAATACTTTAGAATATATCACAGATTCTAAATTCCATGCAACTGAAAAAAACCACGGCTGGCTGGGACGCCGAGCCGCTCTTGTTGTCAGCACATGAAAACCGGCATTTTGTAGAGTTGTTGCTCCAAGGGCATATGCCACAAGACAATGGAAGAACTAATCTTGACGTCGAGAATACTTTCGTTTTAGAAAACGACCTTCAGGAATTTGAATTTATCTCAATATAACCTTAACCTTTTTCAGTACCGTATAATCCGCCAACTTTGCTTTTCAAATTTTCAATCTCATTATGTAAAATAGAATATATTTCTAGCAATATTGACGGTCGTCTCTTAACTTCATTCAGTTGGCTGTTAACGGCCGTCTAAATATAGTATTTTCAGGTGGTACTAAGCCAAATTGTTCGTTGAGTATTGTGTATGGAGTGTAGAAGTAAGGAGTACCAACTCCCATAGGAGAATAGTTGAAAAAGTGTCCATCTGTAAGCAGTAAATAACAGTTCAAAAACTCTCCACTACAGCGCTAGAGTAGCTATGTTATATCGCCGTAAAATACGTTGAGATTTTGAAAATAAAAATTTTGAAAGCAATAAAATTATTGTAAAAAGAATTATGGTGAAAGTCTTTGCAATAAAAAAATAATATAAAGTTCTTTAAAATGTAGACTGTAGCTACAGTGGCGCCACCCTTATTTAACGATATCCTTCGGACACTTTTTTATACAGAGTTTGTACTCCTTACCTTTACACTCCATAGTATTGTGGTCCTAGCAAGCGTCAAAAGCTGTCCAGAGGAGTAGTATTTTGATACGTTTTTGTATGAATTCAAGGTAAAGTAATAATATGGTGCTCATTTCAAATCATAGCGAGTCTTTTGAACTGAGAAATTTAAGCGACCAATGTTACAATCACTATAATTCGTGCCAAATCGATTGAGAAAAACGGACATTGACCTTTCAGCTGTTTAACCAGGGGCTACAAACCTTCAACATATATAGGCACTTTTTGCATGTAGTACTTTATTTATAATGATTTTTTTATAATGATTGATATAATACATATTTATTAACTATTATTAAAAAGCTATGTAAAATATCGCTGTAGAAAAAAAATCATCTATTGTTATAAAGTACTTTATTCATTTAACAACAAAGAGCATTAATTTATAATACATATAAAGATTCGAGTGAAAACGACACCGAATAAGTACGTACTTATTCAAAAAATAAAACTTTATTTTCAATATTACATAAGAACTTTATTTTTATTCGGTGCATGCGGGCCGGCCCAAAAAAAAGTGACGCATCTCTGGCTGCCATTGTCACGTTTCTTTTAGAACGAACTGACGTAACGCGCGTTTTGTTTATTTTAAAGGGATGAATTTACAAAAGCCCAATATGGTGATTATATTGCTTCAAATATTTTTTTAAATATGAAACTGTTATTAAATGAATTGCTGCGTTACTTACCATAATTTGAAATATAAAATATAACACATTTTTCGCGATGTACCGTAAGATTTTACGATGTTTATAGGAACCACAGACAATATTATTTAAGAAACAAAAAAATGAATAAAACATATGTGCTGACCTAGAAGTGTGAATAATATCAATATTTAAATATTGTTATCACATCTAAATTGAGATTTTGTAAGTTATGCCTTTTGACACTCGGCTCATATCTGATGTCGTCGTCCGTTTTACTCAATCGATTTGGCACGAACTATAGTTGTAAACACAAGATGTTAACTTTGGCCACCTACAAACTTGCATTGGGCTGCCTGCAAAAATGTTTACTGCGACACAATTAAATGACGTGTATTTTATAACAGTATCAGAGTTTCTAACTTTCATTACTAGTCGATATTTTTGTTCAAAAATAAAACGGCCTTTAGAGACTGTTATAGTATAGCTAGTATAGTATACCTACACTGTATTGAATTCTGTTTTTTTTGACTTTAATCTTATTCAAGAGAAAAAGATTTGAATGACGTTGTTGCGCTACTGTGCTTGTAAAAAACCTCTTAACAACCAAGAAAACCGTTTTTTCATGTCAAAATTGTAATAATAAAAAGTACTATGGAATGTTTCGGCTCCAGTAAAAAGGGTCTCCGGTTCTCTACACTCACCATACGAAACGCTGCAGCACTTTTTACGCTGGTATGCTGTGAGTCAAATAAACCTCTTCATGTTACAACGTATGATACCATAATATATAATAATACCATCTCTCCCGGAACAAATCTTTATTAATTTGAAACAGCACTTGGTGAAGTTGTAAGAACAACAATGTGTCAGAAAAACAAGAAAATTGTTTGCATTGATAACTTTGCTGGAGAAATTCTTAAGTATGGTATTTGGCGAAGCCACCTTTATTTCGCCTATATTTCGCTTTGCCGAGAAATTTTGTAATTAAACCTTGAAAAAATGTCTTCAATTTGTTTTATTACCTTTGTATTGTCTGGGGAGTAAGAGGATTGTCAAAGATCCCTTTTTACCGATGCTCGTGTTAGTAAGAGGTAATAAAACCACAACAATTTTTGAAAATAAAGGTTATTTATAAAAATTGAATTTTTAGAAGTCGAGTTTTCTGAAAAAAAAAAGTTATTTCTTTACGTTTGAATACTGATTCTGATAACGCACTTAACGGGAACCACAGGGTTTTTGTTGCATGTAGTAATAGCAGTAAGTCCACAAGTCTACCAGCCTGGGATCAGAAATACCTAATACCAAATACTTTATAAAACCATATAGGTTTTCTATAGTATTTGCTAATACTATTTTGTATTATTCTGTTACAAGAACCAGTTGTGTGTTGCATCACGTTGCACGAGAACGTTCCAGAAATAAAATGAGTACGCACTTAACAATACTAGGACATAGCAGAACGTATTTATTTTCAATAATTTGGTGCGCATTATCGGTAATTATTTTATCATAATTAGTAATTAACACGTAACAACTTCTAATGTGTATTAATTAAAATAAAATAATTGATTGCAATTTTAACTACCTATTTATTTTATTCAAATTCATCTTTGAATGCTCTATGAATTTCTTTTAACATATCGGAAGCTATCATACTACGACCGTATGTTTCATATGCTTTCGAATTACAAGATCTTGTCAATTTTGCTGCTGCATAAGCAGCAACACTTTGGGCGAACTGTGCTGATTGGTCGTTTTCACAAATGTAACTTTTTAATGCCCAGTTAAAAAATGTAGCCAAGCTGCCCGACAAAATATCTCCTTGTCCACCAGCACGTCGACCGGATCCACCTTCTGAGGAAGTCCATCTAAAAGAAACTATACTTGAAAGGTAACGATCTTGTTCTCCTTTATTTAACACGGATACGTATTTACCCCAGTAATCATGCCAAGCACCACTCTTACTAGGAACAGCTTGGATTAGTCGCGTTGCTTCTTTGTGATTAGGAGTAAGAATCGCGCCAGGACTAGGATAATCCTTCAGAACAGATACATTCTTCCATACGGCGTAAAGACCATCGGCGTCGATAACCAAAGGTTTCTTTAAAGTTTGACACGTTTGTATAATTTCATGTGTTAACTTTATGATATCATCGTCTCTACCTAAACCCGGTCCGATGACTACGACGTCCATTTTTGATAATATGAAATTAAGTTTGGAGGCCGAGTAGGCATTAAGAAAGGGATACACAATGAGATCTGGGCTATACGATTTGATAATAGGAGCTGCATTCTCTGTGGTAATAACATATACAAGGTCAGCTCCAACCTGCAACAAATAATATGATATAAGAATTATAATAAAAATAAAATGTCCCAGACATAATCAGAGTTCCATAACACGTGCATAAACAATTTTAATTTTACCATTTTTGTGATTTGGATAAACACTGTAGGTACAGTTTATCTAATCACAAAATGAGTTTCATGTGACAAAAATCGCAAATATAAATTATTTACTTTCATAAGCGTTTAAAAATTATTTGAATCATAGCCGGAGCCGAACAAATTATTCGTTTTTGGAGCTAGAATTAAACATCACTCAAATTAATCATTATCTACTACTTTCGAATTTATACATTAACTCTTAATCTGGCAACTTTCTCTCTGCAGGTTGGCTTGACCGCGAGCCTCCCTTACAATATAACAGCTTGAAATATACTGACTTCTATTTTTCGTGCAGTGACCCTTTTTTGCTAGTAATGAAACATTCCATTTTTGTTATGCTAGGGGTGACAACGCATTTGCATTTTGATAGAGGATAAATGTAGATGTCTATAGGCCACAGCTTCTTCTTCTTATGTTCAGCAGTGGACCTGTGAAGGGCTGTAATGATGATGATAGGCCACAACTTCACTTACTATCAGTTAATTTGTGTGTTCGCTAGACGCTCCTTACATGAATGAAAAAAATCGTAGAATTTGTGTTTTCGTAAACGTCCTGGACATTTGATGTCTCATGATAGTATTGGTAAGTAGTTTATGCAGAAGTTAGATTCATTCATATTATTTTGCAAAATTTTGTGTCAAAAGCATAAACAAAAGGGAATATTTGAAAAATTCGTTCTGAGCCCGATTGATCACGTTAACACTAAAACATTCTTTACCACCTACGCTATATTAGTAATGCGAATATATCGAAATGTTCGCGTAGACTACCGGTTGGCATATTATATTACACTAAGTAAATAAAATGTACGGAACAGCGAGAAACAGCGAAATCAAAAAGTGTTAGACATCTTGTACGTAATCATGAGCCACTTACCAAGATTATGACAAAACTTCCCTGCAGTGGTAAAGCACAGCTGTAGACCATTTTTGGAAGAATAAAAAGGCATATTAAGGATTAAAAATACTATTTTGTCACTGCCGTGAATCTGATTTACCTACTCTTTATACACAGAAAAGGAATATTAGTTCTAATTTACATTAGATTATGGCTTTTTATCTTAAGTATATATTAATTATAATGTGGGCTAATTGAAAATAACTTTTTAAATGCTTTGTTTAATTATGTTTATTCATTTGTCAAGACAAAACACGTAAGCGTTAGTTAATACGCACTCGCTTTTTAAGGTAAAATAACATGTTACAGGGAAGTTTTGCGAAAAAATCTTTTTTTTTAATGAGAAATATGACCGGTTGTAATAATCTTTATAATATACATATACGATTATAATTATTCTTTTTTGTAGAAGAGGGCGCAAACAAGCATGCGGCTTACCTGATGGTAAGTGACTACCGCTGCCCATACGTGTAATTGAACGTGTGCTTGTCACTGAATTTATCCTAAACTGCTGGACCGATTATGGTCATTTATTGTGTGTTTGATTAGGGTCCCTGGATGTTTTAGATTCACAATTAGACCCGGTGGTGTCCAAAAAGCACCCGTGTGAAGTCGGTTCGTTTAATATAGTAAGTATAAGTTTAATATGAAAATACGATTAAGTAAATATAAATATCAATAAAATTGAAGTGTCCGTTTATAATATCGAAGTAACTGTCTCATGCCGAGCGGGCTATTTTCATGTTGTTAAAACATGAAACACAACTTTTAAATTATTGTCTGTCTGTCTTTATGTCTTGGGGGATAAGTCGCTCGCGTCCGTAGGCTTTGACCGCCTCTTCCTAGGCCCACCCTACACGTGTCCCCCGGGTGGTGCTAAATGAGCGACAAGCCGATAGCACAGACTCGGCTCCACGCCGTGGTAGAGGCGTAAAATATACTACCCTTTATCCGCACCATGAGGAACCATGTAAAAGAAATGGCCCCGAGTTCCCGGCGCCCCTTTAATGGGGCAGGGGTGCGCAGAATCTCCGGGAGGAAAACCGGCGACGAGGTTCGCCACCCGTCACGTTCTGTCTTCCGGAGAGGCGAAAAGTGGATTGCAGAGGCCCGTCTGGCTACGTTGAATGTATATGGGGCAATGAATGATAAAATGGATGTGGAAAGAATGAATGAGGAAAGAGTGACAAAGAAAATTTATGTTGCAGAAGTGAATGGCAGAGTCGGAAAAGGGACGTCCTAGGCGAAAATTTATCGACCAAATTGGCGATTTATTGAAAACGGGCCAAATTAGGAGTACCGTTAACCGACGAGCATGTATGCGGAGGTGTATGGATGTGAAGGAGGCGAGAGAGGTGTGTCAGGATCGTGCCAAATGGAATTCTGTAGTCTCTGCCTACCCCTCTGGGTGACAGGCGTGAGTGTTTATGTCTTTATGTCCAGACTAATCTTCGAAATGGCAGAACCGTTTGTAATCAAACTTTATGAAACCAAGAGTGATCTAGGCAAACTTTATCCGAAAAACTTAGATATTATTTTTGAAAAAATGAAAAATTGATAAAATAGTATACTATAGTAATATATCGATATAATCTAGGTATCTTAGACCTAAATAACGCCACTTCGTAGCGCCGAATCGTTTGATAAACTTCAAATGGCATATTATACGGATAGGAGCTCTTCTAAGGCAATTGCGTGGTGTATAACGTAAAATATTGACTTTCAATAAGAGTTACTTTTAATCTATATTGGATTAAAATTTTTTTTTTAAATTCGACACAGTCGTTTAACTTTTTGACTGACTAACCTTTGACTGCTGTTACGAACCGTGCTAGCAGTGAAAATTTTAATTGAAGCGTCTAATATATTACATATTATAACGGGAAGCGTTCACGAGATTTTACACGTATACCTTCGCGTGAGGAGGATAGTTTCGCGTTAAGTGTCGCATAGAAGCAAGCCCGCAACATGATTAATAAATTTGAAACAGGCTCGCCTTGAACTGCTTATAATGTTATTACTAAAAATAAATATGATCGATACAATACACCAAGCTTCATAGCAGTTCCAAGAACGTTGCAGATTCCAATTGATCCTAAGGTTTAAGCAACTGCTATGGAGCTTGGCGCCCGTTCGGATCTCTTTTATCGGTGAAGCCGACAACCCAGAAAGTTGTTAGTACCGACATCCCTTTCATATTTATGTTTTTGGTATATAATTTTGCCCTTAGTTTTTCTTCATCATCATCAGTAAGTAACAGTTCACTGCTGGTCATGGATTTCTCCCAAGATTTGCCTTAATTGTCACTTTAGGTGGAGCGTATGGACAACAGCAATACTAGACGTGTCACAACTTTGATATCGCTACCTCTTAGCGGTATTAGCGGTATATATTTCTCAAAATCGCCTCTGATAACATTCACGGACCATAATGAAATGTTGTATCCCATTTACGCCCCCACGTACTTTTTTAAACTCTAATAATTAACATTGAATTATAATTGATATTTGCCATTGTCGCCACGCTAGGAGGTGGGTTGGCAACTACAGATTTTTGTTATTTTGAGTTGTTATCAGGAAGATTTCTTTTATAAGATAAGGTGACAAACGAGCACACAGTCCACGTGATGATAAGTGGTTGCTGTGGCCCATAGACATCTACAGCTATCGTCGACTTCGAATCAAAATGCAGATGCGTTGTCACCCTTGAGTACTTAGACGAAATGCCTCGTTACCAGTAAAAAGTGTCTCTGGTTCTCTACACTCACCATACAAAACACAGCAGCATTAAAGTGAGAGCGTGGCCCTTTCCCGGTCGAGCCGACCTATTCGTGCTACAACTATACTAATATAGCTGCAGCATGGCTCTATCAAGTTCAATTGCTGCACATCTCCTGTTTTATCCGACTGTCACCTCTTGCGACACTCACAAAATGTTATGGGGTAAATAGGAGGTGTTTTTACATGTATGAAGTAATTCTCCCCAATACCATGGGTGCTGTGTAATTACTCGAAGTAGTACTAGTAAAATACTCGAAATGTCGCAGCTATAATTAATCGCGATACTTAAACAGGTATCTTTAATGAACTACATATTATGCAATGTTAATTTAGCTTTTAATACATACCCTTAATGCTGATATAGCAGCAAAATACGGAGCCCCAGTATATTCAACCGAACCACCGATTATGCCTACTTTACCAGCTTCTCCCTTTCCCTTACCATTAAGTTCTGGAATAATAGATTTAGTAATAACTTTGAGGTTAGGTAATTGCAAAACGTTGGTATTTGCGCACTCATTTGACGTAAGAGTTTGTATTGCACATATGTTTGTTATGATTAAAAAACACGCGTAAATATATTTTAAGCTATTCACAAACATGATCACTGTTTAAACCATTAAAGTAAAATGTTAGTACATAATATCTCAATGTTTCCAACAGTCATATCGAAATAAAACTAAATGTATCTTTATTATCTACAAAGTATTAAATACTTGAATTTAAAAAAAAACTCCAGATTAATATTCATTAACCAGTTTTTGATGACCTAGTTATTTTGTATAATGATATGAATGTTTATTCTAAGATGTTTATCAATACGAAGGTCGAGTCATAGTCCATTAAATACAAAACTTTCGTCAGAGATTAGTTTACTCTTTGAGCACATAGGTATTTTATAAACTCCGTGAGGCAAGCGATTCCTATATAAATTTAAAGGTCATCGCACTTTACAACATCTACATCTATCCTTAATTCAAGGACAGATGTAGATGTCAATGGCAAACCGTGTATTGGCGGTGCCACCCCATATCATCCCGTAGGTGTCAGACAGAAGGAAACAAATCAGGAGATGGGGAGCACGGTTTTCCTAATAATGATAAAAATTAAAAATGCAAATATCCCTCCCACCCCTATGAGTAGTGTTGCCTAAAATCGGTCTTGGTCTAGCAGTCTTGGTCCTGCTCTTGCATTTTTGAAAAACAAGACCAAGACAGCCTAATTTCAGCAAGATCAAGACCAAGACCGACCATGCAAGATTTGAGCAAGAACAAGATTATGCCTGCGAGACTCTTACGTCTTGCAATTAGTACCGTAGTGTCGTTTCAAGGAGTATAGGAGTTCAGGTTCGCTTAGGAGACGCAAAAATTATATAAAATCAATTTGGAAAATTTGACTTAGCGCATTACGAACAATACCATAAACATACATGGCGAATGAAAATATCCATTTAAAAAAGATTGCATCTCTAGCTTTGACCATCGGCACTTTGATAGTGCGCAGCGTCTTGGTGTCGGCATCATCAAAGGTCGGATACTGACCTGTCAAAGAAAGTTTGTTAGCTAAGCTATTCGGAATTACTAGATCATGGTACATGCACCAGCGGATTCTATTGATATCGCATACAATTTTTACGCACATTATTTGACACTGTTTGACTGCCGCCACAGAGTACATATTCCAAAGAATAAAGTAAGTTTCCGGGTGCTCAGAATGGACACGGATACGTTATGCTGATCTCGCAAAGAATATTGTAATTAGATAATGGTGAGGATAGGTAAATATCATAATAACTTATTCTAGTATAATATTAACTATATGGATTTATAACAATTAATTACTATTACTTATTTTTTTGTATCTATATAATTTTCTCATCTGGTTGGGTTCCATAAATATATAATTGCGAACGAAAATGATAAATATACATAAATAACAATAAAATACCACACTTGGATTCCATACGTCCAGATAGTTTTCAGTATTGCCTTGTACAGAAGAATTTATTTTCTAGAGACAATTGAGACTTTCGCCCTATGAGCCAGTAGAGTTTTCGCGTTTGAATACCGAGTTGCTTTCTCTTAGTGAAAATATGTTTTCGCCAGGTAAGTCTTTTGTCCAAGTACAATCCAAGGTATCTCACATGATCTGCCTGTGGAACTACAATGTTTTTAAGTGTGACTGGGGGGCAAGAGCCCCTTCTTAGAAAATTGTTTTCTTATTAAATGTTTAGACATTTATTAATTTAGTTGGCCTTTACTATGGCTACGTTAATTCAAGCTTAAAATGTATCTACTCTGTTAAGTTGTTCTAAGATCTAAAGTAACGTTTAATAAATAACATAGTTTATAGCAGCACATAGTAATTACGAGACTTGCGAGACTCTTGCAGCAGGAACAAGACCAAGACTAAGACTGGGAGCGCAATACCAAGACCAAGACCAGGTGTATTGGCGCAAGACCAAGTACCAAGACTGGCTAAGTCTCGTCTTGTTCTTGCATTTTGGCAACACTGCCTATGAGGGAAACCTATGTTCAGCAGTGGACTTTTATAGGTCTGTAACAATAACGGTTACACTACAACATCCCGGCAACGGACTGGCACTACCTCACCGTAAGCTGAAACTTTAAAAAGTCAGCTTTCAATTGTGTTTGAACAGTACACATTTAAATAATACTGAACGAATTTCATATTGTGCAGATCAATTTGTGCAGACAAATTGATATCTTTTGTCGCTGTCACACAAGAGAAAGAGCAACTTACGCCAATGTCGTGTAAAGAAATGAAATAGAGTGATGAGATTTTTTGTTTCGATGAGCATGACACGTTTCTCAAGGTTAGCACACTTCTTTGCTAAACAAAGTTTGACAGCTAACGTGTAGCGAGATATCTAATTTTAATAAAATACAATTTTACGTGCTTTATGTTAAGAAGACACATCGAAAATAAACGCTTAAAATGGCTCCGCCTATTCCACCCCGCGCCCCGCTTGCGACAGTCGTCACTCTGTTCCTAAAATTTCAAACTCGCGCCAAATGCTCAATCGGAGGTCAACGTGCGATATATAGAAAGGAACAAGCAAGCGTTGGAGTCGCGACACACTATTATTTTTAATGTTTTTAATATTTTGCATCATTTATTGTCTTGTATAATAAAATGTAACTATATATGTCATTGTTGTTGTCGTCATGTTAGTTTATCGAAAGAGAAATCAACAAAGCTTATATTTTTTATTTATTGAAATAATAACTAAGTCATAATTTTTAAAACTGATTATATTGTATAACAGAATTTGTAACTACGTTTTAATGATATTTTATTCCTCTTCTTTTTTAGGGCCATTATGCACATTTTCTTTATTTTTCTTTTTTGTTACATTATTTGTATCCCGAATTTGTTTATTACGAGTAAATCGCGGTTCTACCAATTCCAGTAGCAAGCAGTGAAATTAAAATGAAAGTAGTTTTTCTCCAATCCAATCTTATTTGAAAAGGACGAAGAGAGAACGAAATGTGAAATATGGGTAAATCAGAAATGTCTAGAACAGGTAAATGAAATTGTATACTTGGGGAGTGCTTTCAGCCGGGATGGAAGATGTGATTTAGATGTGGATAGGCGTGTCGCTGCCGGAAACAAAGTCAATGGTGCCCTGAATGCATTAGTAAAAAGGCAAGGCGTGGTGAAGAGTGCACGCCTTGCAATACATAACGCAGTGTTGGTACCGACTTTGTTATATGGCAGCGAAACCTGGGTATGCCAGAAGAAGCATAAAAGCAAGTTGAATGCAGTGGAGATGCGATCTCTTCGTAAAATGTGTGGCGTTACCATAGCCGACCGAAAGCGAAACGAAGAGATTCGCAATATGGCAGGATTGAAAGATGACCTTATCACAAAAATTGATAGGGGCGTACTCCAATGGTTTGGGCACGTTGAACGAATGAGTGAAGACCGAATGGTGAAGAAAATATATAGAGCGAAAGTAAATATTAAAAGGTGTCGTGGTAGACGGAGACTAACATTCGAAGACCATGTGAGGAAATTGCTCGAAGAGGGGAGGGTCAAGAGTTCCTCCATGTATGAAGAAGATAATGAACCTGAAAGAAGCGAAAGAGGTATGTAAGGATCGTGACACTTGGCGATCTGTTCTCTCTGGCTACCCCGTTAGGGATTGTGCGTGAAGATGAAGAAGAAGAAGAAGTTTTTCTCCATTTTATCCTTCCAAAATTGGTCATCCTTTACTATTGTTTCCACTTTGATTTAATTACGTCTATACCATACTGCCAATAAACATTTAGATATTTCGGAAATATGCACCTGTTTCTGAACTTGCATGTACCAATCAGAATTTTTCTTCACCTGGATCACACCACTTTTTTATTTAGCCGCCAGAAATGCATTTTTTCTTGTATTATGACTTCGTCAATACTGACCTTGTATGCAGTTATGGGACATGTGATTTCAAACAGGGTGTTACTTCCTATAAATCTGTCAGGCGTTGCTCCTAAAAATGGATGATTTTTTTCTATGAATAAACGACAAGAGTCTATCTTTAGGTCTAGTAAATTTGATATTTTTACTGTACTAGCGCAAGTGACAATCTTCCCAAAATTGGAGGTTTCAATAATAGAAAAAAACCTCGTTAATGTCACTAAGAATAATATAGAGCACAGTCAGCGTCTCCATCGGATTACTGTCCTAATAGTGCGTATTGAGTTGTATAACGACCAACGGAATGTGATTTCCACCGACGTACAAAGCCTAGGTTGAAGCAGGCAAGCTTATAGTGGATATAACAAGAGTGTGGAGTCCCGATTCCTTATCTAGATATACGGCCAGTATATGGATGTTGTCACTATACCTATATAGGTAGCATTTAGTCAAATGTAATGTTTTATTCCCGTAAAAAATAACTAAAATGCAGCTATAAGCAACCACGCGTAGAAAACCTAATGATTCAAGTGTCATTTAACGTGGTGGAGTCATGCTGCAGTTATATTATGTATTAGTACTTGTAGCACGAATGGGCCTGCTCGTCCGGGGAAGGACCACGCTCTCACAGAATACTAGCGTAAAATAGTAGCGTAATGCTGCTGTGTTTCGTATGGTGAGTGTAGAGAAAAGGGACCCTTTTTATTGGAAACAAGGCATTCCATCTTAGTCCTCACGGGTGAAAACATTCCTTATTTTTTATAGGATAGGGTGACAAACGAGCACACAGTCCACCTGATGGTTAGTGGTTGCTGCGGCCCATGGACATCTACATCTATCTTCGATTAAAAATCAAAATGCAGATGCGTTGTCACCATTGAGGACTAAGATGGAATGCTTCGTTTCCAGTAAAAAGGGTCTCCGGTTCTCTATACTCACCATACGAAATACAGCAGCATTAAGCTACTATTTCACGCTGGTACTCCGTGAGAGCGTGGTCCTTCCCCGGTCGAGCCGACCCATTCGTGCTACAACTATACTACTAATATAACTGCAGCATGGCTCTACCACGTAAAAGTCTGCATTTTGATCTGCATTTTGATTCGTAATCGAGGATAGATGTAGATGTCTATGGGCCACAGCAACCACTTATCATCAGGTTGACTGTGTGCTC